TTTTTTTTGTCGATGTTTTGATATTGATAATTGTGCAAATGACATTGCAGATTCTCTACCTTCAGTTTTTTGACAACCAAAACAGAATGTTTGTTTAAATGTATCACGAAATGCACGTGACATTAAACAATAAAGAATAAAATTAACTGAATTATTAATTAATGCTAATATATCAAATGTATCTCCTATAAATAAAAAGATGATTAGTAATTTATTTCTAAAAAAAATCTATCATTATACCAAGTTGTTGATAGATTGTATAGTAATATTTAGAATTAGTTTTGGAAATAAATGATAAAAGTAATATGGCACCTTGAGGTAATTCTGTAACAAGAAATAGAGCACAAACAATAACTAACATTAATGTTGTACGACGATTTTCTTTTTCACGTCGACGTCCACGTATGCGTCCGCTACTAGCAGCCGAAGATGGTAATATTGAATGTGTTTGTAATTTTTCGGATTTTTTTAATGCATCTCTTAATTGTTGAATTAATAAAAAACTGAATAAAAGTAATAATACACATGGAATTAATTTAAATATAACACTATGTAAAACAAAAACAGTGCCACGTAAATTTAAATATTTACTAAGCGCAGTTTCGTCAAAACGATAGGATTTTATTGGTTTATTATTAGTAGTATTTGTTAAGAAATCTGTATCATTCAAAGGATTTTCAGCAAGACGATGTTCAATATATGATGGAATACAAAGTATAGTTGAAACAATAACGACCGCACTAACACCAATTAATGCACGATCTGGTGTTGAAACATATGCTGTTAAAGTTTTACAACTTAAAAATACATAGCGAAATCCCGCAAGAAGAACTGTTAACCTAAAGAATTCAATTTAAATATTTATTATAATAAAATTAGATCGATCCATAAGTTTATTATCTTCGTATTTCAGAGATTAATAGGTATTAATTATAATTTAACTACTAGACGCCCTCTTAATCCAACTGCATGTTCTCAGGTAAAAAGATCGTCTTGTTCTAGCCGTAAGCGCTATTTAACTTAAGACAAATTTCAATTAAAATTAAAAGTTCGTCTAGAATTTTACAATATATCTATGTTGTTTTCATATACTCAAAGTTTTCTCTCTCTATAGAATTAGTAATAAAAACGTAAGTGGAAAACTATTGATTCATGTCAAGTCATAATAAATATAAACTATGATAAAAAATTTATCATAAATACATGACATAGATATTTAGAAATTTAATTTTTGATACAAAAGTTTATTTGTCTCAAGTTCTGACAAATCAATTAAGAAAAAATCATATATATTCTTACCATGTACTTATACAATGTAATGTTAATGTTACTAACATTTGAATCATATAAAATGTAACTTGAAAACGTGATGAAAAATCAGGTTCACTTTTATGTTCAGTTGATTGTAAACAATAGAAAAATATAGCTGCTGGTAAAACAAATAACATTTTAATTAAATCGGATAATGCTAATGATGTTAAAATCGTATTTGTTGATGAACGCATTAATGGACGTGTTAAAACAATAATATTAAATAAATTACATGTTAAACCAAATATACATACGAAACTTGATATAATACCATGATAATTACGATAAAGCGTTTTATAACGAACAAGTGAACTATTAGTATTATCATAATCTAACATATCTATATTATTATTAACGATTGTTTGAGATAGATTATGAATGAATTGTTCCGCTATAATAAAAGATAAATTTCTATTTGTATGATTTTGTTTATCGAATTGTAATGATGTTGGTGAATGTGGAGACATGATATTGATAAATAATTCAATTGGTAATGCTAGAAAAAGAAGAAGAAAAACAAAAAATGTTGAAATATAATAATAGATTTTAGTAATTTTTTTTCTTCTCATCTTCTCTCTTTCTCAAATAACAGAAAAGTATGCATATACAGATATCCGTAATGCAATTCCGTTTCAGCTCATGTCTATTCTCTTAATATACCCTTTACTTTCTTTCTTTATCGTTAATGATTATTATCTGTGGCATAACATCGCTTTGACCGATAAGAGTAATGTGAACAACAATAATAGTATATAATAGAAAGGAATTCTTTTTTTGTTTATATGAGGTTCTCTTTTTTTGTGTTACATCGTTTACAGTAGACTTAGCATTTTTTGACAGATCACATTTATAATCTCATATATACAGACTCGACAGTAATAACATAACATTCGATATACAAAAAAAACATTGTTATCTAAAGAAAAAGTCAATAAGTCGAAGTTTCTTTCTATTACTTATATACTTCAATAGATACTATATGGACTGAAGAAATCGTACTGGAAAATAATTTTTAAAACTAACGCTATATGAAAAAAAGAAGAAAAAGAAAAGTCATATATAACGATGTTTAGTTAAGCGAAAACAGGAAATAACATTAAAAAGATTTCGGCTGAAATAATTGAAAATCAAAACGTCGTAAAAACTACTTACAATATACAATGTTGACTAAGCAATTTAGATAAGTTGTGATACTCATAAATCGTATGCGAGTATTGCGCACCTGTCAATTAGTTTTTTTTTCTTATTATTAGGAACGCAAGTATATCATAATGATACAAAAGAATATGATACATGTATATGTGTATGTAGTCAGTTTTCTTTATTATTATTATGGTAATAAATAACAACTGAATGCGTAAAGAAGAAATGATGATTTTTATGTTATGTGTAGAATATCATGTCTTTTTTCAAATTCACATAAATGTGGAGACAGAACACTTAGATATATGATATAGTTAGTCAATCAAGTTTTAATATATTCTTTTGTATGATAAGTACTTACGTTTAAGATACATTTCTTCCATATTTCTCGATAGATTAGAGAAAAATAATGTAATAATTAAAAAATAGATGATATTAATTACATATTGATTTTCTAAGGAATATATGTAAAAGGAATACTCATAATATTTTCAATGAATATGATAGACGAGAATGAGAAGGAAGAGAAAGTGTGTGCGTGTGTGTGACAGTGAAATAATTCATTTTTTCCTTTCCTCAGTTATTCTCGAGAACGAGAATAAAAAGAAAGAAAAAAGTGCAACGAGACTAGAGTGAAGTAAATGCAATTTATAATTATCATTAACATTTAGAAAACGTTGTAATTAACACATTTAATCATCTATCAATCAGCATCAACTAAAGTTTAAATATTAGTTTGAATTCTTTCTATACTTAACAAACTGATAATATTTATATCAATAATTTTCAAAATAAACAAAATTCTTTTTCAAATGAAGGATAAAGTTTTAAAAAAAAACGTCAGCCCGTTTATTCATTCTTTTTTTAAACATAAATATTAAACAAGTGTAAACAGTCACTTATAATGTGTTATTTAACATAATAAAAAATTGATCAGTATTAGTTATAAAGGTCAAAAAAATGTTCTAAACAAAAAATAATGAACATTACCTTAGTGTATGAGACGATATATTCAAAAAAAATGAATGCTATTATCTGACTATTTTTTTTCTTTATTTATACTATTTTATTAACAGCAATGCAATCTCCGGTTGTCTCTGACAAAATATCCACTTCATATAAACAAAAGACATCAAGCATATATTAAACACTTGTAACTTAACTTGTTATTGCGTATTTAATTTTTTATTTTAACTTTCGTTACTTGCAGGAACTTTTAGAAATATTAATAATAAAATAAACTGCTATCATACTATTCCTTACCGTAATAAATAATTGACCTAAAATGATATAATATTACTGAAAACAATGTGTCGCCAGATTTTAAAAGCTTTTTTATTCTTTTATTAAAGTATGAAATACTTATGAATAGAGAAAGAAAAAAAAGAAAAGCATTTTTTCATTTTTTTTTGCTATTAACATGAAATTATATAATAAAAAAAATAGACTATCATGAAAGAATTACAGTTCATAAAGTTAAATTCGATATGCTATTCAATTGCTTAAACAATATAGAGATTAATACAAAAGAACCCTTTTTACAAAGAATGTTAAAGATTTTTTATTTATAACTGAAATGTTTTTCCTTTAGTTGACTATATCATAAATTTTCATTTATAAAAGTACAATTTTAATGATAATTGACAATTATATGACCTAATATTTTTTATGAACTGAATAGAAAATGAATTTCATCAATTTTTTAGTTTATGTGTCATTTATGATATATCAAACGCAATTCAAAGGAAATATTTTTCTACTCCTACAACAACTTTAATAAAATTAACTATCAATGCGAAATTTTTTGTTGAAGATCATATTGAGTGACAACATAATTTTATTTCTGAATAAGTGGAACTTCTTATACTATAGAAAATTGTATTAAACTATGGAATGATTTCTTTACAAAAATGAATATCCTGTAATCACACAACTATTCTTTGTTCGTTAAATTTTTTTTTTCATGATATATATCTAAGAAACAACATAAAAATAGTACATTTTACTCGTCTTACATGATTTTTTTCCGAAGACAGAAGTACTAGTTTGTTAATATGATTAATACTAACAGTATTAGATGTTTTTTTTCGATCATTTAAGAACAATAAATATAAGTGGTCTTGTATGTTTTCTCGAATATACAATATCTTCTTCTATTACAAAGATCAGTGTACGAAGTACTCATTTTAGAAAACTCATTTTGATAAATGTCAAGATCTTATGAGAAATTGTTTTTTGCTTCTATAAATTCAATTTCTATGTCACCGAGATTTTGAAGAACTATATAGGAAAAGAATGTTCCTATGAACGTGTTCGACATAACTTGAAGTATGTACTGAAATAACAAAACGAACCAAACAATTATCGTTAGATTCATTTTTACGGATAAGAAAACACGAGCGCATATAAAGATCTATTATTATTTTTCTAATAAAAAAAAAGAAAGAAATACAATGAAAACATATTCTCTCCTATTTATATTGTAATAACAACTGAGTATTCAAATTCTCACGACGTATTTTTCTTTTACACACAATATAATTATATAAATTCTAACAATTTATATTGTTAGTGGTCTTTCTTTTCTGTCAATTTTCATCTATTATATCCCCTAAGTTTTCTCAGTTATGATTCAATTTTCTTATCTATTAAGTGCAATACAATCGATCAAATGGGTGTATATTCCATTAAGAAAAAAATCTTAGATTGTCTGTATAAAAATCGAATTATAAACTATCTTAATTGCACGAAAACAAAATGTAAAGCTTTTAGTTCTTAACAATGTTTTAATTAAATAAAATATAAAATCATAGATTCTATTTTACCTTATTTATTCAGTATATATTTTTGTGTTTTGCTTGTGTAACAATAAACCTAATTTAAGAGAAAATAAAATAGTCTTTACAATTTAACAAGCAATTTGACATGAATAAAGAAAAGAAAAGATGATTGAAGTAGAGCATAAAAAAAATCGATTAATACTATTGTCATCCTTTACGATCTTCTTTTTTTTTTTTGTCATCATATTTTCATATTCGGATCTGTCGTTTTATCGATAACAGCAAGCCTAGAAGTTAGAGAACGACTTATAAGAAAAGCAAAAAAACATTAAATGGAATTCGCCTTTTCCGCTACTTCCTTCTTCTCATTTGTATTCATATATGACTTTTTCTTTCTCTATCGGCTGCTTTTCGATATGTTTATTTATTTTCTTTGTACTTCTACATAATTATCGCTCGATGTTTCCTTACTTTAAGTCCAACAATGATATGATTTTTATCTCCTACGCTTTAAAACATTTTTCAACAAATTGGAGAGGCGGTAAAAAAAAAGAAAAAAAAAACACTATAAACGTCGATTCGAACGTTTTTTTCTCTAGCATTAATTAGTTCTTCGCACATGCGGACAACTGATTTTTCGATCTGTTATCAATAAAAGTAACGAAAATATTCACACACTTTTATTATTGATTCTAGTAAAATGATAAATGATTAAAATAATTAATAATGACTTCTTGCTCACTTTTTTATTAAAATAATCCCTTGAATATAATTATTATGACAATTAAATGTGTTTAACAAGACATTTACGTATATTACATTGAGTTCTTTGATAAAAAAGATTTTTTTTACTATGACCTTTCGCAAGTTTACGTAGAAATGTCTGCTAATTTAATTATAGTAAGAAATACTTTGTGTTCATCTTAATATTGACTTAACAATGCTCTGCTATATGTATATGTCTATATACAATGCAATCATGTTAAGTTCAAATGTTGTCCTCTTATATTTTTGTTAAGATCTGAGTTTTTTCCCTTGTTTTGAATACTATATGAACCTCGCCGATAAAACAAATTTATTGCGTACATTGTACTTATTGCCGAGGTATATATTTTGAGGAATTTCTATTAGATTAAAAGTAGTTGAAGCAAAAACAAAAAGAATAATCACTGTGAAGCTTCCTTAGATTTCATGACTATGTATTAGTACTAATGACACTATTATTTATTATTCAAGGAATGCTAATTCGATGGGGTATATAAAATTTAAAAGTCATGATATTTCTAGTTTTTTGTTATTGTGTTTATTTTTACTTGAAGTTCTTCTGCATATTAGAAATTTAAGAGGCAATACTTTTGTTTTTTAAATTATAATTATAGAAGTACACTTTGATTGAGATCAATTATAATTTTAATCAACAAAAAAATATCTATATTTACACCTAATTTTTTTTTTTGCTTCAAAGAAACGGAAGCATTATGTTAGCTTGAATTGATAACGTTAAGGATTGATTTTTTTTTCTGTGTAAATAATTTGATAGAAAATAGCATTATGAAATTCAATTAGGTTTTGATTGTACATAACAATTTTTTTTTCTTCATATTGATTCTTGATTGAATGTAATAAAAACAAATGAAGAGAACAATACAAAATAATTTTCTATATCTAGAACTAAATTCAATATAGATCAGAAGAGATAGAGTAATGATGTAACTATATGTAAATCAATTCTCAACAACATATACAAAATGTTTGTATTATGTAAAAAGCAAGATTAATATAGAACGTATGAGAAGAGTAATGGATGTATCATGAATAAAAAATGAAAGCACGAACACAAAACATACAAATATTAATGTTCGAAATAAATATCTTAATGATTAATCAATTCATACTAAATCTTTATCAATTGTTATATTATGTTAATTCCATTAGAAAGCAATTTTCTTTTTTGCATGTAAAAATATACGACAAATAAGTTTATATAACCTTGAATGAACATTAAAGTGTTTTCTTCCTTTCTAGAAAACCTAAGTTCGTCATTTCATATTAGAGTACAAACCAAAATAATGATATGTAGGTGTGTCTCATGTTAGATCTCAATGACGTAATTCAATAGATACGTGTTCTTTATATTAATGAACAATAATAAAATATATATCTATAGAAATCGATCTTTTGTATGAGTATTTTATTGATATAGTAATTAAACAGTAAAGAATATTCTCAATTACAATACACCAGTGTCAAAATAGTACTCTTTTTTTGACAATAATAAAGAAATATCAAATGGCATACAATATATGTCATTATTAAATAGACAGATCCAGTGGGAAATAATACATTTCAAGATCAATAACAATTTCAAATATAAATTTATTCGAAAACAATTGATAATCAACTCAAGTATGTAAAAAACAAGATGATTATTTTCGTTCTAATTCAGTATCTATAGTTTCATGTAATGCAAAATGTTCTTGATTTTCTTTTTCTTTTTCAATTGCCATTAAACCATATACAGCACTTCGTTGTTCTTGTACACGTTTCATTCGTTTTGTTAATGCAAATGCTTTCATACGTCTTTGTAATTGTTCAACAGATAATTGATTTGTATCTATTTCATCTTCATTATTCATTGTTTTATTTTCATCAATGGATAATTTACGAAGAATAACTGTACGATCACTATCATATAAATCAGTACGCTCTGTTACTACTGGAGGTGTTACTATCTCCGATGATCCCATATCAGCTGTATCAAGTAAATGATTGATATGATCACGTTTTGCAGGTGCATTATCTCGTTTAAATATAACTGGTGGTAAATTAGGTAATAATTGTGCATATCGAATAGCAGTTCTAATATAATATTTAAACAAAAACAAAATTCATTATGAATAAATATATATTTACTTTAATTCTTCACCAGCTGATTTTAATAAATCTTCAATTATTGGTGCTTCTTGTTCCGATGACCACCATAAAATTTCAATACGATTTAAATCAACAGGTATAATAATCTAAAAACAAAATTATTTAATTAATAAAAAAAAAATTTCATTTAACTAACATTTGTCAATTCAAAATTTTTTCCAGCTAATATATCACCAATTTCACCGGAACCAATACGATCAATAAGAAATGCTCGTAATATTTTACTCAGATGTAATGCACGTTTTTGTCCAATATGATCATAAGATGTATGTTTCGGTCGTTTAATTATTGATTCATCAGTCTAATGTATAACACTATATGATTAATATAAACAAAAATATAAATACTTACAGATTGTGAAAAATATTCTTTATGCTCAGTAGTCCTAAAAATAGAAATATTCTTTTTTAATATAGGAATAAAAGTGATTGACGGTTTTCAATCTATAAACTTTAAATTCAGTTCATAGATTTTGATTTCATCGAGATCTAACGGAGCTGATCCAGAAGAGACCAATAGATTTCGAGAGACTTATTTTAGAATTCATGGAATTAAGAAATCTTTAATATCGTATGAATAATAAATATGAGTTAATACATCAGCATATTGTATTTAGTAATCCTCATGGGATTGAATATTTTTCTTCTGTCAAATTGACAAAAGCTCATTGGAATAGAACCGTTTGACGAGTGATTATATTATACATTTTGAATCATGAAATTCTCCGAGCGAAATCAGTGATGTTTTTTTTTCTAGTGAAGAATTTCCTTACCGTTTATCAACTAATCGATTTAATATTCCTTGTCGTTCTTTTTTGTTAGTTTGTTCTTCGAAAATCTTTTTCACATATGAATTTTTAGTCGTTTGTACAGACAATTTTTTTAAATTATAATTTCGTTTAAATATATGATAAATATTTCTTGCATTATTTCCTATTTGATACTGTTTTAAAAACATATTATCTCAATATCTATAAAAAGAAAAGAAAAGAAATTGATTTTTTGTTTTATTTCTATAGTTATAATTGATATAAATACAAAATCATCTGAACACAAAAACAAGGCCATTAGAGATTATTTTAATGAAAAATAAAACATTCATCTGAATACATGTGAGATAATATAATTTCAAAGAAAAACAAAGATTGTAAATGGAAGACTAGATGTAAAATATTCAATTACATCAACGTTTTTTGACTAGAGTATTGTTCATTTTTTTATCATTCAAATTCAAGTTGACTATCATTATCATTATCATTAGTATCAATTATAGAATTTCGAATAATCTGTTCATTGTATCTATTATATCTTTGTTTTAAAATATACCAAATGATTGTCGATTGAAGAAATAAAAATATACATATAGCTAATGAAATCCATATAAATATAACCGTTATCAACAGGATATGTCCATGACTAGGTGACCATATCCAATACGGATCATTCGATGGAAAATAGAGTATAAAACCAATTGCATGGAACCTTAAGAAACAAAAAAATAATACTTCAATGATTTTCTTTGACTTATAGTAATTAATTTTGTATTAAACTAAGGTTTATATGTCATATACTCTTAATCAATGATCTAAATATATCCTTTGTCATGAAAACTTTGTTCGACATTTAATTACGTGCAGTATACTAACCTTCGAACGTTATTTTATGAGTCGAGTAAGACCTATATGTAAATAAACTAGGAAAACTAGATTGTTCTGTCTAATTTACGCTTGATATGATGAATAAAAGCCTATATCGTAATGTTTATCGAAGGACAAGGAGAACATCATCCAACATATTAAGTTAAAGTCAATAGCGAAAAATTTAGCAATTCATGCATTCATACATATTAAATGAATAAAAACCATCTGTATAACATCAAAGCTGGCAAGGAGTCCATGCTGACCTACACTTCAGTTTTTTACTGGTTAGACTTTTGTATGAAAATTGATATGACACTTGTGCATCATTAGAAGATTAACGGAAAGATAGTTTCGAAAAGTATAAATATTTAAGTCGAAAAACAACTACTGTGGGTCTCGTCGAGTCTACAAAAACTGTCGAAGGATTGAAGAAAATATCAGATTAGTCATAGGAAAGTCAATTCTCTAAAATTTACGCATATTTCAACTATATAATATAGAGCACATGTTGTCTAGTTAATGTTAAATATTATATCTTCGAACTATATATAATAAAAGCAAGTAAATATTAATTTTTATCTTATACATGAATATTTTCTTACCAAACACCTTGTAAAAATGTTCCTGCAATTCTCGCATAAGTTGCTAATATTTGATTTGGTCTATTGTATTCCCAAATAGCAGCCAAAACACAGAATGATATTGCATAAACAAGTAATGTATGAACATGAATATCGATTTCATTTCGTCCATGAAGATGAAAATGAAATAAAAATCCTTGTATACCATATGCTAAAATATTTACTAAAAAATCAATACCATCTGGTAATGAATATTTTAAATGAACAAATATTTCAAATAATGAAGCTAAACCAAATCCAAGAAACATCGTTATATGTTGAGCATTATTTTCACCAAAGCCCCATGTTTTTCGTTTTAATGTATCATTATATAGATGTGTAAAACCAGTAAAAAATTCTCCTAACATACCAATAATTGCACAAAATATTTTTACATAAGATTCAATTGGAATTTTATCGGATGACGGACAACATAAACATGTAAATGTCGTTGTTGAATGATATATATGTGATTTAGAAGATTTTCTTGTTCGATTTCGTAGATGATAATGTTTTATTGCAATACAAAAACCCCACCATACAGCAAAAATTGTAAAAAATGTACCGGGTACAATATGACCAAGAAGTGTACCCATATTGATTAGATGAATTTATCTAGCAAAATAATATAAATCAATATTTTAGGTTTTTTTAAAGCTATTAGATTTACCTTTATCGATGTATAATATAGATTAGATTAAAAATTAATGTATGCATTAAGTTTAAATAGTAATGTGTCATTTAAATATTGATTATAAACTAAATAAATATATCACCACTTATGTCTGGAAAAACAAGTTCAGTTAAATATGGTACCGAACTGAAGTTGAATCAATTAATCCATATTATACCCATGTCATTGGATAGAAGAACGAATTAGAAATAAGTGTAGAGGCAGAAAGAATCGTATAAAGAAGACAATTGACATGTAATAGAAGAGAAAATATGATTTCTTCTAATCAATTTAAAACATTCTGACATCGACAGATTTCATTCATGATGAAACCTAATCTAATTAAATATGTAATAATTCTTTCCCGAAAAAATTATCTTGTTTCATTCAAAATGGTGGTACTACTCATTCAAAGATAAAAAGCGGATGGACATTTTTTGAATAATTTTCTATAGAAATAAGATGAAAATGCCATGAAGACTTCTTTATTTTTTTCTAGGACCGTTATATAAAGCTTTTAGAGAAAAATTCTGAGTACTACTAATAAGATATTTTAGTTATCGAAATACAGTTTTTTCAAATTGTCTGACAACAACTGTTAGGAAAATAATTGAATAAATCTTTACATATAAGTTTCGATGGCGAAAACCGCATCTCGTCCTCTTATTCCTATCGAAAGTTATTCAAAAAATACCCATTCACCTTTTATTTTGAAATGGACAGTAATTATAATTTACTGAAATGATGCTGCATAATAATTCATGTAATGAGTTTTCTAAATTCTTCAATTCTTTTCTAAAGATACAAGTTAAATTAGAAAGCTTAATTTTTCCTGCTATTCACTAGATCATGAGAAAATGAAAGCAATTAGACGGAAATAAATCCTTCAACTGCGAAAGTCTAATCATCATTTTCTTAAATGTATGTGCAATTTGATGTCGATGTTTGAAAAAGGTTAACAATATTTTATTCGTTCTTTATTGATTTTCAATACAAGATTGTGTGTTTACAATAACACGTTTTTTCTTTTCTCTCGTCAATGATTATTTATTGAAAAATATGTTAGTATAGAAAATAAAAATGATGATTTATACCCATACAAAATAACAAAGTTTCTGTTTTTTGATGTAACAAATTCGTTTGGTTATAATAATAAACTATCTAGTAATAATGAATCAGTGAATAGCATATGAAAATATTTGAATAACTTGTTCTGATTCCTTTCAATTTCGAACATCATTTTTGACGTTCAAGAAAAAAAAATACTTCTTTTCTCTCCTTTGATTTCTTCGTCTCGATACTAAAATACTCTCTTATATCTTCATTGAACATGTCAAATATCGTTTATTTATAACATAAAGCTTCATTGCTATTGAATATATATTCGTTTCGTTTATTGTTAAAAAAGTAAATGTTGTTGTTTTTCTTTTCAAGTCACAGTTTTTACCCTTTCCATATCACTTGAAATTCGACTCTTGAAATAAAAGTGTTTCTTTTTTTACTCGTTTTATTCATTGTTTATCGATGAGAGATACAATTTCTAAAGTGTTGACACATATTCATTGAAGTATATTATTGCAATAGTAGCATACGAAATG